AAAGTTGGTGTGTGCTTTTAATTGACTAACTTCTTGCTGCTGTATAGTAAAATATTAATATATTTTTATCATTAAACTGCTGCATGACTATCATCATTGCGAGTGAAGAGAAAATGTTATAAAAAAAAAGAAGATGCCTTAAACAGTGAAAACAAAAGTTTTATTATTTTTTTTGTTTGTTTTTTTTTTCTTTTCTTTTCTTTTCTTGGCTGGAATTCAGTAGGAGAGCGTTTCAGAGAAACTAGGATCTTGTTCCACTCGGAAGTTTTTTTGGGATGCAATCATTTTGCTGAATGGTCTTGGCAGAGTTAGGGGCCAGGTAGAGCTGAGCTGCTCCTGTGCGAGCAGGAGCTGCCGGCGCTTCTTTACCGAGGGGCAAGGATGGAGTTTTGGAAGGGTGGGGAGAAAACAAAAAAAAAAAAAAAAAAAAGCTTGTTTTAAAGAATTTGATTTCCTGCTGTCATTTTATTCCCAGTTGAAATTATAATTCCCTTTTTCTTCTTGGTTTGTTTTTTTTTTTTTTTTTGAGATGTACTGTAAGTGTCAAAACAAGCTGTTTCCATTGTACCATGCATTATTGCCCTTGAAAGAAGTTTGCTGTTAGTGTTCACAGAAAGTTAAACACGAGACGCTGGTAGCGAGGTGTTTCTGTTTCTTTTTAAACAATCACTGGAAATGTTTAAAATTGCTTTAATGTGCACTTTTCCTATTTCCCAGTAGTGAAATAAGCTTTTTTTTCGGAGTGCGTAATGTGACATTTGAAATGGTTCTCAATTGCATGTAAACATGTGTCTGATAACCTGCTTCTGATTCGGAGGCTCTGGACGGGCAGTTCCAGCGATTATTGTACTTCAACTGTGATGTGTCGGGACTGCACTCTCCATGCTGCTAGACGTAGTTAGGAATTTAATTGCTTTGGTTTTTTTGCTACTTGATTGATTGTCTCGGTCCCGCTGTTCACCGCCCTCCCCAAAGTTGTCGCGCTGCCGACGGACGCGCTCCGGCGCCCCGGTAGTTCCACGGCGCGTTCCCGGCAATAAGTAGCGGCAGGCGAGGCGAGGCGAGCCCGGCGGAGTGTCCTTCCGTCCCTCCCGGCTCCGGGAGCACCGCTAAGCGAGGCAGGCTGCTCCCGTGGTCTTCCTCGCCCGCGCCGCCCGGATCCTGCCCAGGATCCGGCTGACCCGAGGAGCGCACGGGCCGCGCGGTTCCAGTCAAACCAGTACAGCCCGGGACAGCCCGCGGGCGGTTCTGTGAACAGTGTCCGAGAAACTTGTGGTCAGTTTTTTGTCTCTTTTTTTTTTTTTTTTT